CTTAATTCCCTTAGATTTCCTCCTTACAATTTATGACTATTTTTTTGCAATGCTAGGGATTAAATTCAGGGTTTTGAGCTTGTAAGACAAGTACTATGCCACTGAGCTACACCCCAGGCCCTAATTTGGAACTTTCAACAGAGAGAGTGAAGAAAGATACTAGTGCTTTAAGGATACAGATTTGAATGTTGAAATAAGGACAAACAACACAAGGCGATAACTTAGATGCAGTATTTGGGGTTGGAGAGTTGCATCTTGCAGAGAATCGAAGTTCAGTTCCCTGCACACATACTTGGCAGCTCAAAACCACCTGTAACTCTGGCTCCAGGAGATCTGAAGTCCTCTTCTGGCCTCTGTGGGTACCTGCAGTCATGTGCATATCCCCCAACCCCATACCAGGTACATAAAGTTAAAATAAATAAAAATAAATTTTTAAAAAGATAAACTATTTTTCTCTGTTGCAGAAAAATCTGAGCCCCACATTCCAGACTTGCTCACATGGCAGTTCTAGAGTGGCAGGTCCCTGAAGGCATCTCGTGTGTTGTTTGATTTTACTCTTACACCAGTCTGACTTCCTCATTGTCTAAGATGACAACTTTGCTCCCACCATTCTGCCCACATTGTGATGAACTGGAAAAAGTGGAAGTCTTTTCCCTTTAAGAGCAGAATCCATAAGTTAGTCACATCACATTTGCTTACATCCCATTAGCTGACACTTAGTAGTAACCTGGCTGCAGTGGAAGGTGGGGTATGTCGGTCTCACTTGTGAACCATGTTCCCAGCTAAAGCATGAAAGCTCTTTTACTAAGAAACAAGGGAATGGTGGATATTATAAGGACAACCAGCTATCTGCCACAGCCCTACCCATTCAGATACTAAATAGCCACACATGACCTCTGCTTGTTCACCCACTATACTGGGTAGGGCTCAGCTGGGTGGAGACATTATAAATCTGATGGCTGTGCAATATGCAGTATGGAGTGTAGAGTATGGTGCCAAGTAAGTCCATTCCAACCAGGTGTCCTGGAGTTCAGGCAATAATGGGCTCAGGAATGTACTGGACTCACTGTGGAGGGACCCAAGGCAAAACCTCACTAACCACTGACATACATAAGGCCCTGCTTTAACTAGGGTAACACAATGTCATTTTGGGCCAGTAGGAATTAGTGCCCTTTCAGAGCTGGGATCCAGCTAACCCAGAAACTCTGCTATAGATTGTTCTCAGAGATTCAGAAAAAGAAGAAAAATTGGTTTTTGCCTGAAGCCTTAGCAGAGGTAGAGAAACTGGAGTCTGAGAAAAGGAAGGTCTGGCAGCTAAGTGGGCATGTGAGAAAGAATGTCATAGAAGGGCCATTGAGAAGCAGTTGCCGCACTACGGCAACACCTCTGTGGGGCTGCAGCCAAGCATCTCATGGTGGCCTGTGGTTGCTGTGGTCAGCAGGGCCAGGAGTTGGAACAAACAGCTGGAGGCAAAGTGGAGACTGAGGAGAAACTGAGCACTTCTAGGAAATTAGGTTAGTCTTTTACCATGGTAACCTGGGCCTAGTGGCATGGCTTCACTTCTGTCTTCTAAGTATTTTGCAGATTCTTCTTTTGATTAACTCTAAGAGGCACACAGGAAAGAAAATTCTTGGAATCATGGTTTTCCAGTTCAGTGTATTTAATGGCTATTAGGGACAATTAGCATTCTGCCACAGTCTACCCTTCACGCACACTTTCTTCCCTGCTTACTTGGTATACTGGTCAGGCTTCAGTCAGGGAAGTAGAGTGCATTATCATTATCATGGAGATGGATATGAAGCTTCGAGTACAATTGCTGGCAATCCCAACTTAACCTCCACACAGAGAGCGACAAATACATGTAGTACAAAGTTCAGGGCCTCCCAGTGGAATGCAACCCTGCTGTGAATGTGGTGTCTCAAGATTCTGTACTTTACCGTCCTGACTTCTTTTTGCTCTATAACCAACATACAGCAGTAGAGCAATAAGAGGACAGTGTAACAAGAAGTGAAAGATTGAGTGGGCATTGGACTTCCCAAGTGTACCCTAGAAGCTGGAGCGTGATGTGAAGATGCCTTCACAGTTTTGTGGAGCAGCTCCTGCTTCTGGTCATGGTAGGGTATCTGGTCTCAGATTAGCTGTCCAGCTATGCATAAATAGAAAACTGGATGAGATATATGGAACAGTTATTTTCAGACAGTGCTAGTAGGAAGCAGGCTCTGGGGATGATAAGCATCACAAACCATGTGACATAGCTCATATAATGCAGAAATTGGCTGAACATGCCAATCTTCCCTTGGAAACATTGTATTAGAATTGCAGGTTGTATCAGTGACCCCTGTGCTAGTTAGTTTTTCATCAAGTTGACACAACCTAGAGTCAACAGGGAAGAGGTAACCTCAATTGAAGAATTACCCCTGTAGGCATGTCTGTGAGGCATTGTTTTGATTGCTAATTTGAAGTAGGAGGGTTCATATGACTGTGGGTGGTACAATCCCTGGGAAGGTGGGCTTGGGTTGTATAAGAAAAACAGCTAAGCAAACCAGTAAGCAGTGTTCCTCCATGTTCTCTGCTTCAGCCTTGAGTTCCTGCTCTGACTTCCTTCAATGATGAACTGTGAGTTGTTAAACAAATAAACCCTTTCCTCTACCAGGTTGTTTTTGGTCAGAGTGTTTTATCATAGCAGTAGACAAACTAGAATACCCCAGTATTGTCCATGACATTGAAAGTGATGATTTTACCGAAAGCATTCAGTGACCTGACAAGAGCTATTAGCTTCCTGGTTCACAGGTTTGGGCTCTCAGTATTAAGCTGATGTCACACATTTCAATGCCTTACTCTGGACACTAAATTAGGAATGGTTAGCATATAGTTTTACCTGTGTTGTGGAGTTCTATCCTTCCAACACAACATGGCTACTGCCACTTTGAAATCAGAATAGCTGTGATTAGCCTCATGAGATCTTCACAAGACTGAACCTATTAATGTTCTTTCATGGAGCAGAAATACGGCTCAGACTCTGGCCCTCCTGAAGGGTTAGTGGTTGCTGAGGGTTGAGGGTGTTTTCTTTGGGAGTGTCACTTGAAGGTGTTTTCTTTGGGAGTGTCACAACCTTTACATTACTTATGTTCCTGTATCTAAGCCCTCACCCATTCTCTATAACCCCAAATAAACTCCCGGGTTCACCAAGCTAGATGGGTGGAATTGTTTTGTCCTGTCATTGGTACCCTCACTGGAGTGAAGAGTTGTTTGTTCACATTTCCTAGGAAA